GAGACCATCGCAGAATCCTTGTACATAGCTCGGCCTCTGCTGCACCGTATCCTTGGCCTGGGCTGGGCTGGGCTAGTACTGGGCCTGGGGCTGGGGCTGGGGCAGGTGGGGCCAGGGCCAAGCCTGAGCTGGGCCTGCGCTGGAGACAAGGCTCCTTGACGCCTTGGTCGTCAGTGCTCAGTCTGGGCCTCTGGGGTCAGCGGTCTTGGACACCCTGGCTCCTGTCTGGTGTCTTAGATGTGACCAGGTGAGCCTGGGTCTGCCTGGGGGCTCTGTGCTGCAGGCCCCGCCTCAGCCGGGTGGGCAGGGGCCCCTGCTTGTCCTGCGGCTGCCCTGTGGCCCTTGGCTTGGGGCTGATCGGAGCCTGGTCCTGACTGTCCTCTCCCACTCCAGCCTGAGCCTCCTGAGTGACAAGAAGGGCCTGACTCGGAGGGAGCGGCTGGAGCTGCGGCGGCGGACCATCCTGCTACTGTACTACCTGCTGCGCTCCCCATTCTACGACCGCTTCTCTGAGTAAGGACCCCGCCCCGCCCGGCGCAGCCCTGCAGGCGCTGCTTCTGCACCCTCATCGGCACCCGCCCTTTCTCCCTCTTTCCCCGGCTGTCCAAATGCCAACCCGGCCTGTCCCCAGAGCTCTTGGGCTGTTAGCACCTGTGGACATGAATGCTTGGTGGCAGGAGAGACGTGGGCAGGGCACAGGGCACTGCCGGGAAGCGCGAGGTCAATGTCAGTGGCGGGTTCTTCACACCCTCCAGCCTCTCTCCGTCTTCTTGTCAAACAGTCTGTTTTCTCCCCAAGTCGCACAGGGTTCAGAGAGGTCAGGGCAGTCTAGTTGGGACTGGATCCCAGATCTGTCATTTTCACTTGCTCTCTTTGCTTGGCTTTTGTTTTGTTTTGTTTTTTTGAGACAAGGTCTCACTATTATAGTTCAGGCTGGCCTTGAACTCGAGGAAATCTTCCTGCCTCTGCCTGCACAGTGCTGGGATTACAGCCCTGTGCCACCACACCTGGCTAAATCCACTGCTGGAAATTTAAGTAGAGTTGCACTGAATCTGATGGCCAGCCAACCTCTATTTTTCCCCAAGACAGAAGAAAGCAAGCGTATGTCATATTTAACACTGCCTCACTGGAAATAACTTTGCCTGGCGGTTCTGCCACTTTTAGATAAAACTAAAAGTTCAGCCAGGCGTGGTAGTGCATGCCTGTAATTCTAGCACTTTGGAGGCTGAGGCAGGCAGGTTGCCACGAGTTCAAGGCTTGCATGGACTACATGGCGAGACCCTGTGTCAAAAAAAAAAAAAAGTAAGCTCTGAAGGGAGCGGAGCAAATGCCACAGGAGAAAGCATTCCAGAGGAGACTCTCACGGGTGGTCCACCCCGACCATTCCTGCCCTTTAGGAGTGGAGAGTTACTAGGGGTCTCAGACTGCAGTGATTGGGAGGTGACTCCTGGGTGCACAGCCTTGGGTTTGGCCCCCACTCTCCTAGCTTGACTGTCCTGGGAATCCGACAGAAGTTCCTGTGTACAGAGGACAGGGCCTGGGTGCAGGCTGCCGGGGGAGGCGCCCCCTTCCGGCCCACAGCACTCTGGAGCCAGCCCACTCTGTACCTGCACAGCCTCGGACAGCTTACTTGATCTCTCTGTGCTGCAGTTTCTCAGCAATAAAGTGGGGGTGATGATCAAATGACAGTCTGCACTGGGTAAATGTAAACAGTAAACATTTGCTAAATATGAAAAACATTTTTGGTAGTGCCAGGGACCAGTGCCCAGGGCCTCACATGCTAATCAAATGCTTTACCACCGAACCACGCCCTCAGTCCATAAATGTTGTATCCTATTTGTTTTTCAGTTTAGGTCTGTTTTAGTTTGGTTTTTTTGAGTCAGGGTCTCAATCTGTTGTTCAGGCTGGCCTGGAACTCACTATGAAGGCTTGGCCTGGAGCTCAGCCTTGAACTTAGTATGTAGGCCAGGCTGGTGTGGAGTTCAGCAATCTTCCTGCCTCAGCCTCCTGAGTGCTGGGGTTATAGGCATGCGCCATCGCACCCCACTGAGCTGCCCCATCTCTCTTCTGTGTGCAGGGCCAAGATCCTCTTCCTGCTGCAGCTTCTGGCCAACCACGTCCCTGGTGGCAACCTGGTGGCGAGTGAGTGGGCATGGCTTGTGGGCGTGGGGTGTCACCTTGTGTACAGCCAGCTCCTGGCCTGCTTTGGCTCTTGTCACAGTGGAGAGAGGGAGTTTGAAGTTAGGTGGCCAGAAGGAGGGTGTCCTGTGCCATGAGTGGGGTGCTTGGATCGCATCAAGCTGTCAGCCTTCCTCCTGCCCAGGGCCCTGGAGTGCTAGGAAACCCTGTCATCTGGGTGGAAGAGGACAGAGCCGATGTCAGGGCAAGCTGGGTGGCCTTCCTGAGCCTGAGTGGCCTTGTTGTGCACGGGGATGGGGACAGAGGCCCTGGCAGTGCTGTCTCCCAAGGGCAGAGAGTGGGGGTCCCACGGTCGGCTGGCGGTACAGCTGTAAGCAGCTGTGTCAGGCAGGCAGTGGTGGCTGAGGAGTCCTGGGTGGAGGGGGCTGGACCCAGGCCTGGACTCTGACTTGTCACCCTCTTTGCTTTCAGGGCCGCTCATGGATTACCTGCCCACCTGGCAGAAAATCTACTTCTACAACTGGGGCTGACAGACATCCAGGAGTGGGGTGCAGGGAGGGTGGGGTGTGGGGCTGCTGTTCCGGGCAGGGCCCGCCTCAGCCTCTGGTGCTCTGGGCTCCTCCTCCCTAATAAAACTGACTGGCAGTGTCCAAACCTGTGACCTCTGCATGCCCAGCGCCTAGGGTTTCCTTGTCGCCAGCCAAGAAGCCTCAGCAGCTCTGGGGTTTTGGGAGCCACAAGAAGCTGCCACAGCCTCCCAGAGGTAGCCGTCACTTGCCCTGGCAGCTGCAGAGGACCTGCTTCTCTCACTGTCCCTGGCGGAGACAGACAAACTGCACTGGACTTGCCCGAAGACTCCCTGCGTACCTTGTAGCCAAAGCCTCTGACCGCCCTAGGATGGGATGGCAGCCGGTAACCAGCACCAGGCTGGCACAGGGTCAGGAGTGGGAGCCAAGACTAAGATAAGAGAAAGCCAGGCTCAGGGATCTGTGGGGTTTTTTTGCCTTTTCCGTTTTATTGGTTTCGGGAATCGAACTCGCAACTGCCTGCTTGCAAGGCAGGCACTTATGCCGCTGAGCTAAAACGCCAGCCCCTAGGCTCAGGGTTCTGGGCTGGGGTTCCCACACTTGCCCCACTGGCTCTGAGTGGCCAAGTGTGGAGCCAGGCCAGCTGCTGTGGAGGGGAAAGGGCCAGGACCTGAGCCTCCTGTCCTCTGCACCAGCCCTGTCCCCCTCCCTGAGGAAGAAGCCACGTTCCTACAAATCCCAGACCACAGTGACCCCTCAGGTGCTAGAGGGTACCTTCTGCATCTGGGTCCCTCTGTCCAGGCCCTGTCATCTCTGAGGCGTCCTCACCATGGCACAGCTGTGCTGTACCTCCAGGAAGCCACCTTGGCCTGCGGGGAGGTTGAATGTGGGGGAGGGCTGCCTGCTGGCTCATCAGCTCAGCTTGGTGACCCTTGGCTTCCTTGAGCAAGCCGTTGGGGCACCAGCTCACAGGAGGTCCTGCCAGAGGCTGCACACCCCGGAAGGCACTTGGGGCCAGCTCTGCTGCGCCTCCCTCAGTAGAGACCTACCTGTCCCTGGCTTGGGGAGGGCGTGGCAGGAGTGGCTGAGAAACTTACAGTTCTGTTACTGTTTCCACTGGGGCCTGAGCCCAGCCTTGGCCTGTGCTACCAAAGTCAGACCCCAGCCTGTCTGTTTGGTTCCTTTGTTTTTGTAGTTCTGGGATTGAACCCAGGTCCCTCCTACTGAGCCACATCCTGAGTCTCTTTTGCTTTGTTTTTTGAGTCAGGCAGGGCCTGAGTCACTAAGTTGCCCAGGCTAAGCTCAGGTTTGTGATTTTCCTGCCTCAGCCTCCCACAGCATTGAAAGTATAGGCCTGTGCCACCACAGCTGGCCATGTGCATCAGATTTCTGATGAGCAGGAGAGGCTGTGCGGAGTGGCACGGGCGTGGAACGGCATGAATGAAGCACTGTTGTGGGGGACAGGGATGGGGGGTTGGGCAGAAGCAGATGATGCCAGCCCATGGGAGGCTGGGCCAGCTGGAAGGAGGATTGGGCGTGGGGAGGGGCTATGTGGAAACTGAGGCACCAGTGGATGCTGGGGCCTGCGGAGGACAGGTCGGGAACTGTGGCTGGGGGAAGACAGCAGTCCCCAGGCGGGTGTAGAGGTGCTTTGGTGTTAGGCTGTGTACTGAAGTGGGCGGTCCCTGAATTCAGGGCACTCCCTCCTGGCAACCCTGACTGAGGCAGTTGGGAAATGTGCTGTGTGCAGAACAGCAGGAGAGATGGGAATCAAGTGTGTGGCCGTGGTGCAGGGGAAAGGCCCAGGCTGCTGCAGCTGAGAGACATGGGACCAGGTGCAGAGGCTGGGACCAAGGGCGTCACCCTTGGCCTCGGGGACCAGCAACAGCATCCCAAAGCTGCAGACCCTGGGCTTAGCCCTGGGTTCTGATGCCACAGGTGGGGAGTGGGCTGGGCTGCTTGATAACGTACGTGGCACAGAAGCTAATGTGACGTCTGCATCATGTTACGTGGGTGAGAACATGATGGCATGTGCCGGCTACCAAGGAGGCTGGGGCAGGAAGGCTGCAAGTCCCGGGCCAGACTGGGAAACTTAACAGAACCCCATCTTGGAAGACTGAGAGTGTAGTGCGGTGGGACCCCACAGTGAAGAAACCCATCTGGCCTTCAGCTCACTCGGGAGCAGGCCCAAGGCTTTGCCCCTCCCAGGAGTCTTTCCCCCAGCCAAGGAGTGGTGGAGACCCCAGGCAGCAAATTGCCAAAGGCCCCCCACTGGCCTGGCAGCTACCAGCACCTTCCGGGCCTGAGGTGTGGCAAGAGAGGCTGTGGGAAAGGCAGAGGTGAGGGTGGGGGCAGCCGGCCCTTTCTGTTGAGGCCTACTGCATGTGTCCCCTTCCCTCACAGGAAAGGAACACAGGCCAGCAAGAGGCAAGGCCACGACTTGAACTGACATGTGACCACAGACCTGGGCACTGACACCAGGACAAGGTTTGCTTTGACGCCTCCTGGCCTAGTCTGTGAAACACGGCACCTGCCTTCCGGCCTCCATCAGCCCTGGAATGATGCCCTTTGTGAGGTGGCCTGGGGGTGACAGCAGGTTCCGAGCCGTGGGCGGAACCTGAGCAGGGCCTGTGTAGGAGATGGTGCCTGCCATGCTAGGGCCTCTGTGTCCCAGAGCTGGGTTCGGCTTTCTTGTCTTGTACCTTGTCCTGGCAGCTAGAGTCCTGTGCCCTCAGCCCCTGAGGTGCTGCCCCTGCCCTCCTGGGAGAGGAGTTGGTCCACGGTTCCAGGGTTAGGGGAGTGGCGAGTCCCCCACCCTGAGCCAACCCCACCGAGGGAGGTGGCAGTGGCCTCTGGGGCTAGGCTGAGCACCTGACCTCTCCTGCAGGCCTGTTCTTGAAGAACTGCCAGCCTCCGTGGAACTGGTGCAGCCGCTGTCCAACCTAGATGATGGTAGGACTCCTCCTGTCCCTGTTCCTGTCCCCAACAGTGGGAAGGGGTGTCCCACAGAGGGCCCAGGGCCAGCCCTCCTTAAGTCCTGGGCAGCCTCCCTTTGAGTCCTGTCCCAAATATCCCCTCTTCCCATTTCAGACTACGGGCTCCGACCCAGGCACCCACGGCTGAGACACCCAGGGCGGCCAAGGCCTTGGCCCCTCTTCTCCCTGGCCCAGCAGCGCAAGCGGGATGGGCCAGACATGGCTGACTATTACTATGAGGATGCCCGAGGTGACTGATGGGACCTGCATAAAGCTGTTCTGTCAGCAGAGGCTCAGGCTTCCTGCATGTGCCCGAGGTGACACTGGAGGGGGCCACATAGCACACAGGCACTGTGGTCCAGACAGGAAATGGCACTTTAATAGTCGTGGCCAGGGTGACAAGACCACAGAAGGGCTGGCCTGGGCCAGTCAGAGGACGCCTCTCCCTGCCAGGGCCAGCGTGCAGGGGCTGCAGGTGGGAGCCGTCCATAGCCCAGGGGAGAGCGGAGAGCAGCGACTTCACCTCCACCTGCTGCCATTTCCTTCCTGGAAAGTCCTCCAGCGGTGGCCGGGCTCAGCTTGAGCTCAGGGCTTCTGGTAGGGGCTGGGGACAGGGACAGTGGGCACTTGCAGGTGGCATGGGCTTTGTCAAGGCAGGAGCCCGAGGCAGGGGAAGTAAGTCCTGGGCTGAGGCAGAGCCTCTGTCCCCAGGATGGGCGTCCTTTGCCCTGCCCCTCCTGTCCCCGGCAGCCCGCTCTGTCCTCCATAGATGGATCTGATTTGTATGTTACAATTTTGTTACAGTAGACCCCATCTGCTCTCTCTGCACCCTGCCCCCATCCTGAACTGGAGGCCCCACAGCCCATGGGCGGGGGGCAGTGTCCCTCCAGAGCAGCGCTGGGTCCTGTGCACAGCCTGCTGTCCTGTGCGGCCTGGGGGCCGGGTGGTGCAGAGGGTGTGGCCGCTACTCCAGGTAGATGTCCTCTGTGGGGCAGGTATACTCCACGAACTGCTTGTAGAACTGCTGGAACGCACGCCTGCAAGGCAGGGCATGGTGAGCGGGTGCCCCAGCCCCTGGGAGTGTTAGGCTATGTCCCCAGAGGACTGTGTCCCTGGTGAAGGACAGATCAGCAGCCAACAAGCTTGGAAATCACTCCTGAGACCCCCCTGGCCTCGATGGCCACCACACTGGGTCTGAAGCTCGTGGGTTTCCAGAGTTTGGGACCGGTGGGGGTGGCTGGGACCTCAGGCTGACTCCTGGGGGCCCAGGCGGGACACATACATACCCCACAGATTCTGCCAGGGCTTTGGTGGAATCTTCAGACACAAAGACGTGGCAGGCAAACCGATGGTCAGCAGGGTGCTTGGTGATGAACCCAAAGTACCTGTGGGAGGTCACATGGCTGTGGGGGACAGGGGTGGGGAGCCACCCAGGCCACACCTGGTGCCCTGCCTGTCCCTCTGCTTACTTGTTGTTCTTTGGGTGGTATCCACAGAAAGAGATATTTTTTAGCTGGAAGAAGTGGCTACATTTATTCCCCTACAGAAGGGAGAAGAGAGGCATGAGGGTGGTCACCAGCCACAGCGGGAATGGGGACGCCCTCCCTGCCGGGGCAAGCCTGTGAGGGTGGGGCTAGGGCTGGGGCTGGAGGGAGAGAGGGCGAGGGCAGCCACCTTGGCCTCCTGGCAGTCGTCGGCCTTGACGCCAATCTTCACGCCCCTCACGCTGATCTCCAGGACGCAGCTGGCAGGCGGGTTAAAGTGCACGGTGAGCCGGCGTGTGGTGGCAATCTGCGGGCCAGGGACACGGACGCGTCAGGTGCCATCTCTGCCTCCTCCTGTCCTAGGCCCGGCTCCTAAGGCTTGCACTGCTCTAGACCCCTGCATCCTTGTCCCCCAAAGACAGTGCAGCCACAGACGTACCTTTTGCATAGCGGCACAGAGGACATCATTGCCCTTGTGATAGGGAACCTGGACGGAGCCCAGGAACTTCACCCGGAACTGATCCACCCAGTCACTGTTTTTGGCCAGGGCTAGAAAATAAGCATAAAGTGAGGGGCTGGTGCAGCCAACTAGAGGGGGCCCAGCACCCTTCAGAGGACAGTGGGTAGGGAATGCGGGTGCTACAGCCCCCAGGGGTCCCAGCTTTTCTCTTTGGGGAATGACCTGGGTTTACTTGTCAGCCCCTCCCTGGCCGGCCCAGTTCTGGGGCGCAGCTTCACATGGCAGCAGGGCAGGGGAGCCAAAGTGGGGCTGGTGGTCCCAGGAGGGGAAGGACACTACCTGCCATGTGCTCAGGCTCCTTGGTGACCTCGATGGCATAGTAGGCAGGGAAGACCCCGCGGGCGCCGGTGCGCATGTTGTAGGCCTCGTACCAATAGTCTTCGGCCTGCAGCTCCACCAGGAGAGGGTCATCCACCTCTAGCTCCAGTTCGTCTTCATGCCGAGGCACAAACCTGTCCCCAACAAGGCCACATGGGAGTTCCTTACTAGGACCTCTCCAGCCAGGCCCCTCTGGAACAGGGGAGCCACAGTGACATCATGGTTTCTTCTGAAAATGTTGTGCTATGTAGCCCAGGCTGGCCTCAGACTCACACAGCTCCTCAGCCTCCTGAGTGCTGGGATGACAGATGTGCACCACTGGGTGTGCAAAGCATCAAGTGTGCCTGTCAGTGTCAGTCCCTGGAAGGCCAGTGTCAGACACACACCAGTCACCCGGCAGTCCACCGGCCAAGGAAGCAAGCAGAGGTCCTGATGAACTGCAGTCATGGGGGGCAAGCGCTATGCCCGGATGGTGGGAGGGTGTGGGTTTTGAGAGGGGACAGGTGTCCTTTATGTGCTGGGCACCTTGCCATAGTTGTGGCTTCCTCGGGACCCCGTGTGCTGGGTGCAGTGGGTGAACACTGTCCTGGGGACTGAGTGGCACCTGCTGCAGCAGCAGGAAGGTGGCCCTCACCTGAATATGGCCCGGTGGGTTTGCTCCTGCTCTTCCCCATTGATGACACAGGAGAACAGCCCAAAGGACTCAGCACCTGCAGGGAGGGTACAGGGCTGCAGAAGGGTGGCCCAGCTCTGGCACAGGCTGGTATGGTGACTCGGTGAGCAGGTGGGGTTCAGGGACACCCCCACCCTGCTGGCTCCCCCACCATGCCCCAAGACTCACTGGAGGAGCGCGAGCGGCCGCTCATGAAGACGTTCAGGAACTTCTTAGAGAAGTGGACGTCGGGCTCATCAGGTGTGGAGTCCTCAGAGAGGCACGCGGGGGGCCGGGGCCGGGGCGCCTCCTCGTACTCCTCCCCGATGGCCGACTCATACGGTGAGGAGGCTGACGCACAGTTGTCATAGACAGTGGCTGAGTCGCTCTCATCGCTGTAGTCTCCGAAGCAAGGCCGAAGGCTCACGAGCTCCAGCTGGGCGTGCTCGTCCACCACCAGTGTGTACTTGACTGAGTCATAGGACAGGGCGCTGGTGTCTGAGCTCAGGGAGGCCCGTGGTGGCGGCGGCGGCTCCCCCAGGCTCCCTCGCCACCCTCCGCCTGGCGGCTCAGCCCGCTCCGGGGATGAGAGGCAGTCAAAGCCCTCATCCTCTTCACTGATGGAGGGGTGAGGCCGGCCCGCTGCTGAGGGGTAGGTGGCAGGGTCAGGGTCGGAGCTGACTGACATCCGGCTCTCTGCAGGTGGCAGGAAGGCTGAGACGGGCTCCGTGGGGTCTGGGGGCCTCTGCACTGGTGTCAGATAGATCTCCTCTGTGGCCTCCAGCCGAACATCTGCCTGGTAGTGGATTCGGTCCCGATGGGAGTGGCCCAGGCCTCCAGGGGTAGCAGGAGGGGGGCCACTCACAGGTGCCATCTGGGTGGCCGTGCTGCGGCGACAAGGGCTGTCGGTGGAGGTGCCGCGATCCTTGGTGGGGGCAGGGCTGCCCTGAGGTGGCAGCTCATCGCTCAGGCAGATGTGTTCATGGGGTGGCGTCTGCTCCCCTGGAGGGCAGGCAGGCAGGTCAGGGTAATGTAGGTATCTCCAGCAAGTCTCCCAGTGACCTCCCTATCACCCATGGTGTGTCCACCCAAAGTCTAAGCAAGGCTGTCTGGCCACGGGCCCTGGGTAGGGACTGGGCAACTCGCTCACAGTATCTGCCCTCAGTCCTAGCCGGATTGGTGTCAGGTGCTCGGTGCTGGTGGGTACCAACCTCTACTGGGCAAGTGGAGGCCCCAGGGTCTACTCCCAGCAGCTGGCACTGAGCAGGGTAGGCCAAGCTCCAGCTCAGGGAAGAGAAGGGTCCTGGCTTACCTGTCTTGAGGGGTGAGGATGATCGAGACACCCGATCCTGCCAACTGTGCTTTTTGCCGAGAGAATTATTATTCAGTGTGTCCTGTGCAGGGGACAAAAGGCCCTTGTGAAGATGCGGCCAGCAGTGCCCGGCACAGGGAGGCCCTGACCCTACCCCCATGAGGCCATCCCCAGGCCCTGTGCCTCACCCACCCGCTTCCACTTGCCCTGGCCTCACTCCCAAACCTGCGGGAGCAGGTCTGAGAATGGCAGGTCACACCCCCTCCTGGTCAGGGCAGTTAGCCAGCCCTCAGGGTCACAGTGTGTGATGAGAGGGTAACAGGAGCATCTGGGGACAGATGGACCCACAGTCCCAGACATCAGGGTTTTGCATGTTAGATGCTCAAGTCTAGCTCAGGGAAGGATAGCGTACTCCCTGCTCCGGAGCTCAGGAAGCTGCGGCCTGGGGAAGCCGAGTGACACTCTGAGAGAGGTTGAAAAAAGCCTGCAGAAGTCTCCTCAACAGCAGGCCTGGGGGCCTAGGATGAATTCAAATGACTCCATACCATGCCCACCCCCTGCCACACACACGACTAAAGAATGACAAGTAGCCTCAGCAGCTTTCCTTCCTGTCCCACATTCTCAGTCCCCTGGGACCCCTCCAGGGTGCCCAAGTACAAGGTTCCCCGTGTATGACTTGGGCTCCCTCAGCTGGGAACACCCTAGCAAGCCCTCACATTCACGAGCCTGGCTGCCTAAAGCCATTCCAGGAATCTGGGAAAGGGACCAACCTCTCCCTGCAGCCCCACACCATCCCCAGCAGCCCCACCTCCCTGGAGGCCTCTGTACCTCTCCAGTCTGGGCTTGGAAGACAAAGGGCCACAGCCAGCCTCACGGAGCTATTCAACACTGCCTGGCATCCAGCCACCGGCCAGGGGCCCTAGGTCCCCAACGCAGCTAAGCAGCTCCATCCCCCTCCTCACTCGGCCTTCTGGAATTCCCAGCTGCCCAGCTTTCAGGCTGACTGCTCTCCCAGCTCGGGGATCACTCCTACGATGCCCCTTGCTACGGCCCTCACCATGAGCCCCATCACCAGAAGGAAACCCCGTCCTTCCCAAAGATTCCAAACTCCTTCCGAACCCTCAAAGCCCTGTTCCCTCCCCTGACTGCTCTTGCTCATTTCTTCCCCTGCCAGCCCCTTCACTCCTTGCATCCCTTCCCAAGACTGCAGACCAAGCCAGCCAGACTCAGCGCCCCCGTGCCCCATCTCGGCGCGCAGGATAGTGGGACCCTCACCGCAGCCCCCACCCCGCCCTCAGCCAGGACCCCGCCCCCCGCCCGGGTCCGAGTTCCTGCCCCGGCCCCAGCGCACCTGAGACCGCGGAACCTGCGGGAAGAGGTTGAGCGTGGTGGGCCGCTTGGGCCGGTATGTGTCGCCGCTGCCGGGGCCCTGGCTCTGGATGCGGGGGGCGGGCTCCTGGCCGGACTCGGCCTCTGGCGGTCCCGCTCCCTGCCGCCGCGCCGCGCGCTCCTCGTCGTTGTCATCCTCGTCCTCCTCGGCGCCGGGAGTGTCCCCCGCAGCGTCGATCAGGTCCATCTGCAGCATCTCGGCCTGCAGCCGGCTCCCCGCGCTGCCGCCGCCGCCACCCGCAGACAGCAGCCCAGCGCGCGGGGGCTGCGCGGCGCGGACGGAGCGGCGTCAGGGGGCTGGGCCGCGTCGAGGGGGCGGGGCCAAGGCCTCCAAGCACCGCCCACAAGCGGGCGAGTCCATTCTCATCCAGCGCGAGGTGGGATGAGAGGGACCGAAGGGCGCCTCGGGGAGAGAACAGACTCTCTGCCCACACACAGCGAGGAAGCTGAAACCGCCCCTTCCCCAGGCCAGTAGGCGCCTTGGACAGCCCACAATACTCCTGTCTCCACCCCTGGGCCCCCCTCCGGACTCTTTGCACTCTCTCGTTCCCTTGACTACGGCCAGTGACCTCACCCGGGATGTAAGCCGAGCCCAGAGTGAAATCACTGCTGTTGCCATGGGGACGTAGGGGTCGCCAAGGCGTTCGAGCCCCACAAGGGATGGGGGTGGGGTTACAATTTGTGTTTGAAGGAGAACGTGAGGAAAATAGGGAAAACTGGGTTTCAGCCAAGCGAGGAAGACAGTGGGAGGGACGTAATGGGGACGCGAGAGTTGACAGCGACCAGAAGAAGGACGCGGAGGGACGGGCACTTGGCACCTAGGCCTTGGCATCCTCACCCTTCCCTATGTGCTCGCCTCAGCTCACAGAGATCCTTCCCTCAGCTAACCCAGCCCGTGCTGGTTCCAGCTCTGCCACTAAGTCCCTGGCACCTTGGACAGATCCTCGAACCCTGCCCTCCCCCACCGCTGCTTTTTGATTGGGTACACTGCTGCTTCCCACATTCTCAGAGGTGAGGATACTGCCCTGGCACTGTGATTGTCCCCTGGGCTTGCTTGAGGCGCCATAGAGGCGCATCCCTAGCTAGCACTACCTCAGGGCCTTTCTTGGGGCCTTGCTTGTGCATACCGGGGACAGAAGGTAGCAGAGTTTAGAATAGGTATATGACCTCGAAGAAGCCATGCCAGAGTCCTGAGACCTGAATAAGTGGCCTCGACCTCCATCTCTCCCTGGTCTGGCCAGAGGGTAGATGATTAGGATACTGGAACATTACTGTCAATCTTTGGTTTCTGCTTGCCAGGCAGAGCTTCCAGGAGCTCTGTGTGTAGCAGAAAGTCAACACAGAGCCAGTCCACACCCAACTGTGACCACAGCTCTCCCAACACCACATCTTGCTACCCACCCACTTCCCACTAAACCCTTGCCTCTCCTGGCTGGCTGACTCCTGCTTTTTGCTATGAAGATGCAGTGAGAATCCCCATCTGACCTAGACTCCCCAGCTGCTGAAGACCTCCCATGACAGCATTGTTATCTTCAGAGAAGGGAGGAAGCAAAGCAAAGGGGCCCAAAGCAGCAGCAGTCCTGGGCCAAGCATTCTCCGGGCTCAGAGAGGGCCAGGGCCAGGGAGGCTGCATGGGGTGGGTGGAGTGGCGCAGTGGTGCTGGCAGTGTGGGAGTAATCCAGCAGCGCTTAGCTTTCCTCTTGCCCAGACGGTGCCCTGCACTGCACATTCCAGGGGACCCCACCCTGAGCTGCCTCCAGCCCTCAGCCAGGGCTGCTCTGCCCTTAACTCTGGCACTCCTTGCCACTGTCCTAGACTTCAAGACCTCTGGCACTGTCTGTTTGTGGCTGGCTGACAGAGCTGCCTTCTGCCTTAGCCCCTGGTAAAGAACACAGTTTAAAAGTAAATTCTGATGAAGCACCCAAGAGGCGCCAAGCATTGCACTGGATGTTACCTCCTGTCACTTCACTTCCTGAGGGTGCTGAAAGCTAATTTAATGATGAGACGCCCTTCCTTCTATCCCTGCCCATCCTGCCATCCTACTCAGGCACTCTTGAGAGCTCGCACTTACCCGCAGGGACAGGGTGTCTTTGCACTGCAGGCTGATGCCACACTCATCCGTGATCTCTGAGAGGTCTTCATCCTCGAACTCCTCCAGGCTGATGTCATGGGTGAGCCTGATGGGGACAGAAACCCAGAGCTATAACCCAGGGCCACTGCTAAGTCCACTGGCACCTCCCTATCACCTCTCCCAAGGTGCAGCCTCAGGAAGAGGGGTCGAAAGACCCAAAGAACAGGGTTCTGTTCATTTGCACTGAAAGCGGGCAAAGTATTTGGGGCTCCTGCCAAAGGAGCCCCAGGTCCTCCAGCTCCTCCCAGCTTGGAGCTGTCCCATCCTGCTGCCAACCTGGAGGCAGTGCCTGGAAGGCCCAGCAGTCAGAGCCTCGGGAAATGCCTCCTGCCAAGGCCAGCTTGTCCATGAAGGATGCAGAGCTGAGACCAAAGCATGCCTAAAATTAGGGGGCTCAGTGCAGTTACAGTAACAAAACCCAAAGTGCTGGCATAGGACACAGCAGCCTGGGGAGGGGTGGCTGCCCCATGCGCCCCACCCCACCCGTGAACCCTGGGACTGAGTGAAGGGACATCTGCTGTCACTGTGGGGATGTCCGGCCCATTCCAGGAGAATCCTGTCTCCTGTCATGTTCTTGGTTGCAACCACAAAGTCCTCTTGCCCAGTGACAGGACGGGGAGCAGGACACTGCACAGATGGGGTCAGGAAGGCCCCAGGCTGGGGCTGGAGGAGTCCTAACTGGCCCCAAGAGACCCCAGACCAGGTCTGTGTCCCGACTCAGAGAGAAGGGCCAGGCTGGCCACCAAGGTGCCTGTTGTCCCTGCACCATTCCCCCTAACCCTGACCTCCTTTTCCTGGCCTGATATGAGTGGGACACCAATGAAGTTGGGGAGAACATCAGAGCCTTTTCCCTAAGAACAGGGGACCGAGAGGGGGTAAAGGAAACCCATCGTCCAAGGTCACCCAGGAGAGGCAGTGCCTCTGCTCCCGGGAGGGCCACACCCATCTCTCACCTCAGTCCCCCAAAAAGGGACCGGAGCTCACAGGAGGGCCCCTATCCCTCCCACAGCCCCCAGCCAGCCCCAGCCCCTACCAGTGCTCCCACCGGTCTTCCAACCAGCTGTCATTGTCTGGGCTCGAATCCATCTTCAGCACCACCTGCATGGAGAGCCCAGCCCGGCCTGGGGGCTTCGGGGCCCCAGGGCTGCCCTCTCATGCCCACCAGGGTGGGGGGCCAGGGCTCCAGCGAGGCAGGGCTGTGGCCTCCGGCCTCCACCGCCTGGGCCTGCCTGTCTGCGTCCTGCCTGCTGCAGAAGCCTGGGGAGCTCATTAAAAATGGATGGGCCGGGGAGAGGAGGCAGCAGCTGCCCACCGCCCGGCCCCCAGCGCGGCTGCCCAGCCCTCAGCTGCAGGGCGCTTCCTCCTGCCGCTGCTGCGCTGCCGATTGCTGCCGTCACCTCCCCCGCGGGATCAAGTTACTGCAATCAATGCCACTGGCTCCACCTGCCCTTCCAATGCCCCTGCTGGGGGCTGCAGTGACCCCCCCCCCCAGCCCAGGCTTGCAAGCAGATGGCAGAAATCTGGGCTGTTTCCCCCCAAAGCCAACCCCTGATCAGCTTTAAAGGGCCAGCATCACACTCGAGGTGGCAGACTGAAGAAAAGGGGTGGGCTTGCACAATTCAAGAATGGTACCCTGTTCACACAGCCACACTCAGGCTCAGCCCTCGGCACCACAGCATCAGGGAGACTTCTGTGGGCTCAGGGCAAGAGGAGATGGTGCTGGCTGACAGGGTTGGGTCCAGGTAGCCGCCCTCCCCAGGCAGGGCTCCATCCGTCCTGCATGGCTCAGGAAGGAAGGGCCAATGGATGCAGGAGGCACCAGGGCCAAGGACAAGCCAGGGCTTGGACTCCTCTGAGCAAGACAGGAAGTGCACTGAGTGGTAATACACTTCTTGTCATGTGAAGTGGTTTTCCCAGAGAGTCCCAGCAAGGGAAGGGGCTCCTTAGGCCTCCTCCCACCTGCAGCCAAGGGCCAGGATCTCCCAAAGGTGACAGGAGGGTGTGGTCACCAAAGTGTGGGAATAGCCTCTTTGGTGTGGCCAGAAAAGGTGGCCTCTCAGCTCTGGGACAAGAACTCAGGGCCAGCACTAAGCATGGCATAGACAGGAGGCCAGTGGCACGGGCAGGACCCCTGGGCATCTGACCTAGAGGTGTCCTCAGATGCCCCCTGCTCTGCCCGTGACCCCAGCACACGTGTGTGTCCTCACCACAGAGGCCTGCTGCAGACCTCCCCACTGGCCTGCCCCTGCCTTAGTCTCTCAGGCTGCACCACCCCACCCTACCTCCCTGCAATCAGGGAGAGTGATCACAACCCCATCATCCCTTCTGCCCCCACTCGAAATCCTCCAGAGTTCTCAGCTGAGGGTGGAAGGTTCTTTCTTGTGGTTGGCATTCAAGGCCCCAGCTCCATGTATATATAATCACCTATTTTCTGATCTGTGTCCTCAAGCGTGTCCTGTGTCCTGGGTGCCATGTGTCCCCAGGACCTAACCCAGGGCATGAAGGCAGCATAATGAAACCCAGTCCTCCAGGAAGCCTTCCTCACCCATCCATGTGCCTGGCAACAGAGACCACCTGCCCCCAGCTGCGAAGCAGCATGGTGGAGCCTCCTCCCACTCTGGCCTGACTCCAGGCTAGACTGGATGTGCGGGGCAGAGCTGGGAGGGCACCCCAAGGGCACCAGGTGTTCAGCACGCACCCACCAGATGCAGGCAAAAGGACATTCTCAGCGCCCACCTCCTCTCAATCTGGTTTGGATTGAGGCCCTCAAGGCCTAGCCTGGACCTGGATGGAGGTGTCTCCGCTGTACCAACCTTGGCATTGCTCCTGTGCGGGGACAACAGGAGGATCCCTGTCATCAGGCTGGGAAGAGGAGACCGGGGAGCGAATCCTGAGTCACTTACAAGCCACTGCCCTGCCCTGGCCACTAAACTTGTCACCACATGTCCTCACCAGACCTGGGCAGTTTCCTGTTCCACAGACAAGGAGCACGAGCCGCCTTAGGCCTCAGTTTCCCATTATAAAGAGGGCTGACGGTTCCTGCCCCACCCTCAGGAGGCTGTGGACGGTGACCTGGGGAGAGTGTGGTGCTAAGGACCGCAGGGAACAATGGGTCCAGAAGTCCCCTTGCAAGTCACCCCTGGCCTGAGACCCTGCCCTTTCAGGAGGAGGAAGGCAGAGACGAGGCTAAGAGGAAGGGGCAGCGGGAGGGTCCCTCCTGACCTTGCCTAGTCGCCTTCTTCCCGGAAACCTGAGCCATGCGCAGCCTCCACGGGCTGCGTCTCTCCTGGGGCCCAGACACCTGGCAGCCTCCTTCAGAGCAGCCACTGCCGATCGATCCATCGGCCCTATGGGCTGCTCTGGCCGGACAACCGCCCCTGTTAACATTTGGTGGTTTTGTGCCCGAGTGTGGTCTCTGGAGCCCTCCCCGACCTTTGGAGTCCATCAATACAGCCGGGGCCCCTGCTCCGGCATTAACCTCACCCCCGAGGGTGTAGGGGCTTTGCCACCATCCTGGCCACACCATGGCCCCTGCCTGAATCTCTCAAGCTGGCTCTCCTCAAAAGCAGGACTGAGGACTGGGGATTTAGCTCAACAGTGTAAGTGCACGCCTGACAAGCGCGAGGTCATGTGTTCAATCCCTGGTACAAAAACCAACAAAGCAAACAAAAATCGGGGCTGAGCAGTGACACAAGGCCACCTCAGTGCCAGGGGCTGGGATGCAGGAGCTGAAGGCCAGCGCAGGGCTCTTGGTCCCTGGTGTGGAACTCCATGCACGTCTCTCATGACACAGGGCTCCTGTGGTCCAGGGGTCTCGTCTGTTGCTCTGACACCTATGGTTGGCCCTCTGCTCCCCCACAGGTGGCTGTCCACCAGGTGACAGGACCTGAACCAATGCCTGATGTGTGATTCTGGTCTGTTCCCTCTCCCCAGCTCAGCCCAGCAATGGCTGGCCTGGTCCTCAGATAAAGGGGCAGACGTTCTCCCTGTGGGCCACAGGCTCTCCGGGCCTTGGGTGCCCACTCTGTATCGATCCCCTCACTCCTTAGCCCACTCTCCAGCCTCCTGTCCCCCTGGCCACAGAGGCTCCTTGACCCCTCGGATGGGCTGATCCGCTCCGGGCTCTCTGGGGCCCTCCTGCCAGCTGTGAGATAACTAAGTTTTCAGATGGGTCACATGACCAGTGCCAGTGTCCCTGAGGGGCAGGGAGGCCATCATGGCAGGGTCAAGTCTTTGAGATGGCTGTAAGCGCTCTGCACACAAGTGTGTCTGGCTTTTCCAGTCCTTGGCCATAGAAATCTCACAGTCAGCCCACCTGGCTCAGCTCCAAGTGTGGGACTGGACGTCTGGACCTCCGGGAAGGTGGCACTGGGTAAAAGGTGGGGTGCAGTGAGCCAGGATGGGGTGCTGTCATCCCCAAGCCCTCTGAGTGGACGCTGGGCCAGGCTGGCTTTGTTCCTGAGGTGTGGAATTCCCTTCCCGACCAAGTCCATGTTAGTGGCCTCTCCAGTGAAAACAGTCAAACCCAAGAATCACTGCCCACCTTACCTCCTCTGTAAGTTTCCTGAGGGCAGCAGCTGGTAACAGCACCCAGAGATGTTAAAATTTTTATTACTGTTTTATAATAGCGTGGATGGAACTCAGGGCCTTCCCACTGAGCTACATCCCCAGCCCTCATATTTTGTTTGAAGACTGAGTCTCATTTAAGTCACTAAATTGCCCAGGCTGGGCTCAAATTTGCAATCGTCCTGCCTCAGCCTCCCAGCGTGCTGGCATTACAGGTGTGCAGCTCCACTCCTGGCTTCCTATAGATTTTTGAATGGAGCAGGGCCAGGGTACAAGATGGCATTCTAGGATGGGCGAGACCCCTGAGTAGGTGTGGCAGTAGTGACCCAATTTGCGGACAGTTTTGGGCCCCCAGCTAGAGCTTGCAGCCTGTTCCCAGGAATCTAGAGACCAACCTGAGGGCCTGATGCCAAGCGGAGCTGCCGCCGCCCCGCTGCCCCCCTGGGCTCATCAGAGCCAGGCCAGGGCCACCGCAGCTGTTCTGCTTCTCCAATGCCACCAGAGCATGGGGAGGTGGCTGAACACTGGAAGCTGGTGTTCCTCAGCCAGCCCACCTCCTCTCGCTCTGTCCAGGCTCCCTGGGTGATGAGCTCCCTCTGAGGTGTCAGGGGCCATTTCTCTCCAGCCTAATCCTCCCTCTAAAGCTCCTGACCCCAGCCAACCGCCTGCTTGATTCCTCCAACTGGGTCCCCTGTGGCCATCAATCTGCCATTCAGCAGGTAACCACCCTGCCCGCTGGCCCTCTGCCCCAGTGGACACCTGGGCCCAGGGGCCCTGCCATCTTGGAGTGCTCCGCACCGTCTCAGGCCAGATCCCACCCTAGGGACCACTCCGCCCTTAGATCACCCTCACTTCCCATCCACCCACCTGTCCCTCCCACTCCCACCGGCAGCCTGGCCAGTGACCCTCGTGGAGAACCCATCTGGGCTGTCCCTACCTGCCTGACCCCCTCCTGGCCGCAAGTGCTTGTTGGTGAAGAGGCCACGGCCACTGTGTGATGGTGTGGCTACAAGATCCTGTGCAAGTTTCTCTCCACCTCTGCCACACAAGGGCGTCAGGCACCCTGCCCTCCCTCCTGGTCTCCAGCCTGGTCCTGCTTCTCCTCCTGGTGATTTCTGCTCACCCATAGTCCCGAGCTGAGATGTCTCCTCGTCTGGTGGCGCTGGACCTGCATGACATCATGCTCAGCCTGTCTGATGAGACCCGATCCATCTGTCTTTTCTCTGTGGACAGACTCACAACCTGGCCGCTGGGCAAAGTGTGCAACAGCCAGAGTAGAGATGAGTGACCCCCACAGAGCTTCGCCAGCAGCGCGGGGTGTGGCGACTCAGCTACCCTCGTGACAGCCCGCGCATGCTTTTTTTTTTTTTTAATTTCTTTAAAAATTTTTTCCTTTTATTATTTCTTTCTGTTTTGCAAGACTGGGAGGGAACCCAGGGCCTCACAACACAGGGCTCCAGCACAGAGCTGCACCCCAGCCCTGCTGCACTGACCTTTAAAGTCTCCCTTGGCACTTCTTCACCCCCCAGGGCAGGGTGCTTACTTTATTTCCTATAAACATCCCTTTGTCCTGCTGGGCCTCCCACAGGGGCCACGTGCCCTGTCCCTTCTTCACCCCAAGCATCCAGTGCCAAAGCAGCCATTGTGTACATTTCTTTTTCTTTATTTTCTAAAAATGTTATTTGCTTATTTATTTGAGAGGTCTTGCTATGCAGCTCAGGCTGGCCTTGAACTCACTGCGTACCCCAGCCTGCCCTGGAACTCCTGGCAATCCTCCTGTCTCAGCCTCCTGAGTGCTGGGATTACAAGCATGTGCTACCATGCCTGGCTATCACTGAATACAACTCTCAATTCTCT